TCACATGAAAACTGTGGCTAGCACAACGTTTACGTCAAGCAGTAAACAGCGAAAAGTCAACTTCTTTTCGTCTCCTTTCAGCCGTTAATGCGCTGCAAAGAAAATATTAGCAATAGGCGTGAACACGAGAGTTTTTGTTCTATTCTACGGATTAATTCGAAGAGCATGTAAGTTCAGTGTGAATTTTTACGGTTCCTGTAAAGATCATTTTAAACCTCTCTTTAACCCCCCCCCCCCCCATATCTTCATTTTCGTGGTCGCTCAAAACACACTTTATTGGTTCTTTCAGATATTTTATTATATATTTTTGTATGTACAAAATAATTTCAAAGACTCCATTAGAAGGAGATGAAAAAAATTACTGTTCAAGATCAAAATAATGTAATAGCCAACTGCAATAAGTTACAACAGTTATAGCTCCGAGTTATGCGAATTTAGTACACACAGCCAATCACTCAGAATAGAGTAACAATTACTGTAGGAGTATGAGAAACAGAATTCCACATAACCCTTTCCCTCCCTAACATTAGTATCCATATTCTCCATACTCTTTTCTATACATTTCCTTTAGTCTTGACAAGGAGAATTTGTTTTACAATCAAAGCATCTTAGGTTGGTGATCATTTCCTTTATTCCCATGATAGTAATGAATGATTCAGTAGTATTATTGCAAGGAGAATTTTGGATTTAGGGTTTAAAGGGTTAAGGAAATTTAATATACACACGTAGTAAATATATCACAAGAAAGAAAAGAAGCAAGTATTTCTTCTCAAGAGTTGGGAGGGGGTGAAAGAGAAAATTTTACAAATGTTGAATTGTTCAACGCTGAGACTCTCAATATTTGTGAAAATCGGTTGAGTAAATTAAACAGTTTTAAAGAAAGTACTGGACTGGAAAGCAATCTACAGAATCATCAGATCTTAGGCTCAATATTGTAGCAACTAATTCCATCACATTGTATGTGGAAGTAGAAATCAGTGGAAGAAACAGAGAAAAAAAAAACCAGCAACCACTTAAAAAAAAAAGGTTTTCTACATATTGTTTTCTTTTGAATATTGCAACAACTTTTGAAAAGGTAAGAGGTACTGCTAATCTCAGACCAACAGCAAGATACACTCTTCCAACTGACCTTCCATCATATGCTAAAATTGTAATTTGTGGCAAAAAAAGTTTGTGTTAGTGATAATCTAAGACAGTGGACAGCTACAACATAAATGGTTTTTTCTGGTTTAAATGCTTCCCTGTAAGTATCGTATTTCAAAGAGCACAGCTTACTTACTATATTATCAAATACACATGTGCATTAGGTAAAAACAAGCCTTGAAAAATAATCACTTTGAAGGAAACCATTTTCTTGCATCAATCAGTAAATACATGATGTGGCATATAACATTTGAAGTGACTAGGACAAATCTGAATAACCACACACTGAAAAAGCAGTCCTAAATTAAAAATTTCATTATCCAAAATAGTCAGCAAAAAACCAAAATCTTTTTACAAAAGTATAGAAAGTGTTTCATGGAGGCTGAAGTGTTTCCAAAGTGATTAGGAAAAAGATTAAAGTGCCTTTGAATTCAGGAATCAGACAAATAGAATGTCAACTTAGTGTACAATTTGAACAATGTTTACGCACATTAAAGCTGTTACTCTCTGTTTCTAGCCTAAAGTGTGATGGCCATTCAAAACAACGACATTAAAGAAAAAGAAGAAAAAGAAAGCAAAGGAAAGCAGAGATAACAATATAAATACCAATGGGAAAAGTTCATGAAAA